ACATACATACATACATATGTGTATGTGTGTGTATATATACACACATACATACGTATACGTGTGTATATATGTGTGTGTATATACATATATATATATATATATATATATATATATATATATATTATATATATATATATTACCACTAAGAAGAATACTTTGAAAATGCAGCCCAGAGCTATTCCCTGTCCATTGGCAATCTGTTCCTCAGCTCTCCTCCTGACAGTTGTTTTGGGTAGAGTTAATTAAAGGACGAGACAGAATCAGTAGCGAACTTTCATGCCAGACGGCACCAAAACAACATGGCCTATGACTCAAAATGCCAGGCAAACACAGGAGACAGTCCCAGTCCCAATCCCCTGAAGCTATCCAGCTGGTCTGGAGGGGCCAGAGACTCAGGCAGCCTAGAGTCTTCTGGGAGAAGACATTCCCAGCAACTCCCAGACTGGGTTCAGGAAAGGGGCCTCCTATGGTTGGGTAAGAAGGACATACCACTTTAGGGTCCTGCAAGGAATTCTGGTTATGTGTAGGTAGTGGAACAACCTCCTGGGGGAATCTGGAACTTCTGATCAAAGACTGATGCTATTCTCAGTTCACACTCAAAACTCCCAGGATGTTCCTTCCCCCAAGGCGGACACTGCTCTGCTTTTGAGGCAGGATGGGAAGTGTTGAGGGAAAACATGGAGAGCATAACAAAAGCCAAATTATTTAAACTGGGTGGGATCATAGCCAAGGGTCCAGTTCACTTAACTACTAATGTCTAAACCAGACATCTAAATGACCCAGTGGCATAGGATCTCCAATTGCCTTGAATGCTAGGCATGGTCAGCCTGACCTGAAACTTGTTCCTAAGATGATACAAGTTCAGCAAAGAAACCCGGTTGTCCCAGAAGAGACAAGCAAGACAGTTGTTCAGTTCTAAACTTGGAGGCTGAAGGTGCCAAGCACCTCTGTGATTGGCTAAGCAAGCCACCTGATCTTCCCTGGCCCCTTCCAAATCCCTTGGAGACTTTTGTCAAAGCAAGGTGCCTTCCACTGATGTTTGCTACAGAGCATGGGTTCTGATGGGGTGAAGCCATCCTTGGGCTTAATTTCATCCAGTCCCCAGCACTTGGCACAATGCTTGGCACAGAATAAGCACTTAAATCTTCTTGACCGACTGACTGACCATGGCTACAAGACAGGGATGGTATTCTATGAAAACAGATAGTTTTTTCTCTGTTACATGGGATGTGACTGTCTCCCAATTTCAAAACAAGGAAGTTAGTGGGTTTTTTTTCATTGAAAAGAAAAAAATGGCCAGAAAACCTCTTTGGCAAACAAGGAAGTTGCCTCTCTCCCTTTATCCTGGTCTCTTTTGATTCCCCATTTCTCTGTCCATTTAACTGGCCGTGATGTAGAACCAAAGTATATGTTTTTATTAGGTATTATTCTATTTATTGGATGGTATTTTATGCCCCCTTAATTTAAAAAGTACATGGGGATGATGTTTTATAGTCCTCCTAAAAGGACAAAAGTAATTTTCCTTTCATTTATATGACTTGAGATTGATTACTTTTTCCCCTGTGACTCAGTGGCCCTTGACAGAAAAATACATATCCTATAGAAATACAGAGAAAATGCAGCCCCAACTCCTCAATCTAGCCATCTGCCCTCTCTGGGACTTATGTTTCAAATCCACTGACTTGCCACTAATTGGATGACCTTGGGCAAATTTCATAGACAGTCTGGGCACTGGTGTCCTTGTTCAGTTCAATGAATAAGTAGTGGGGTCCTACTAGGTGCTAGAAGCAGATGTTGGACTAAATGACCTCTAAGATGATGGTCAGTTCTAACAGTTAAGCTACTGAACTAGGGCCCTTGTTTCAATGGGCTCACCTCTTGGCACTTGCCCCTAGGACTAAAGAGCACCTTGCTTTGGCAAGAATCTCATTCCCCTCCTCTCTCCTTTTCCTTTCCCTATCTGACCCACAAAGCACATTCTGATGAGTTTCCTCCCTGCCCACCCCCACTGCCATCCCCCAAGCCCAGCCTCCAGAATGAATGTCAAGGACAAAGCTTGATTTCAGAATTGATTCACTAATAAAAAGACGGGACCAGTCGTGCTAGAGTAAGCACTTTCTGTAAGCAGAGAGGGTTGGAATAGAGATTGGCTGAGGGGTGTGGTGATGGAGGAGCTGTCTGGCAGTTATTTGCCCAGAAATTAAGAGAGTAACTATGGGGAAAGCCAATGCCCAGGAAGGAAGGTGCCAAACCTTTCCCCAAGCTGTTCCTAGTTCCCTGCTCAGTAAATTTTCCTCAAAGCCTAAAGGGTGAATTCTAACGGGTAAGGACAGCCTAGGCAGCCAAGCCATATATTCAGCATGGCCACCTATCCAGCCTCTGAAGAGAGTACAAAGGTCCCCCTTCATGGTATCAAATGGATACAAAATTATCCAGAGACAGTTGGTCTCTGCAGATGATTAGGAGAAGTAATAGAAAGAGGACTGGATTGATAGTCAATGGACCTGGGTTTTAATCCTCATCCTGGGCACTTTCTACCTGTGGGACTTTGAACGAGTCATGTTCCCTCTCTGTGCTTCAGTTGCTTCATCTGTCAAAAACAAGAGACTTGGACTTGAAATTTAAGATCTCTTTCTGCTTAAAAGCTATAATCTTAAAATCAGGTTAGAGCGAGAGAGGTAACAGGGTAGACACCAAGATCTTTAAATGAAAGGTAGTTAAAGATTTCAAACAAATGCTATTTGAGCTACTTGAGGCATAGTTCTACCAGGAGCCTGTAAAGTCACCTTCCATCCCTTAAGAGCCTTTCATTCCTCCATTGATGCCTTATTAGAGGAAGGGCTAAGGAATTACAAGGCATCCTTCCCTTCCCTTCCCCTCCTTTGGCACCAGACAAACCTCCCATTCAGCACCCTTGAAGTGTGGAAGAGGGTGTGAAGCTACTCTGCTTCCTCTCCTTTCTCACTGGTCAGAACCAGTGGAGGGTATGGGAGTGGGGAGAAGCCATGCTGCTGAGAGGGTAGAAAGGGTGTGGGCAAAGAGGAGGGCCCAATGAGTTAGGAGGATGAGTATAGTGGGGAGTAGTCGAGTTTGAAGGAATTTTGGAGGTTATAGGGTCTAGTCTCCTCCTACCCCAATGCAAGAACGTCCCTTTGAGGTAGTGATTTAGCCTCTAATTGAACACCTCTAGTGATGTAGAGCTTATTACCTCACAAGAGACCCCAGTCCAGTTTTGAACAGAGCCACATGTTAAATTCTTTCTGCTGAATTGAAATCTGCCTCCCATTTGGTCCTAGGTCTGGCCTCTGGAGCTACACTGGACACTTGTATTTCCTTTTTCACATGACAAATCTTCAGCTATTTGAAAGCAGCTCTCGTGCCCTCCTCCCCATCCTTCCCTTTCCCAAGTCTTCCCTTCTCCAGGCTGATCTCCCTTAATTTCTTCAGCAGTTCTTCATATGGCATGATTGCCAGACCATTCACCTTGCTGGCAACTCAGCCCTGAACACACTTATTAATGCCTCTCTTAACATGTGGTGCCCAAAAGTGAGCACCATACTTCAGATAATATTTGACAAGTGCAGAGTACTGGAGGGCTATTATCTTCCTTGTTCTGGACACTGTGTATCTATTAATGCAGCCTGAGATTGCATTAGCTTTTGGGGCTGCTACATCACGCTATTGATTCACACTGAGCTTGCAGGCCACTAAAAATCCAAGGTTTCTTTTTCTTTTTCAAGTGAACTGTTGCTAAGCCACATCTCCTCCATCCTGTATTTGTGCAATGTATTTTTTAACACAAATGTAAGACCTTATCTTCCTTAAAGTGATGTTTTGTGTTTCAGCCTATCATTCTAGTCTGCTGATATATGGTAGAAGCTCGATTGTTATCCCTCCCAGCTTCATATCATGGAATCTGTAACTTTGGTTGACATGCCCTCCATGTCTTTGTCCAAGTCATTAAGAAAACCGTTGAACCAGATAGGACCAAGGACAGAGCCATACAATACACCATTAGAGACTCCTCTCCAGGGTAGTATCAATCCCTTAATCACCACTCACAGTTGTTGCTTAGCTAGCTATGAATCCACCTAAATCTACTATAATCTAGCCCCCATTTCTCCATCTGTTCACAGGAACATGAGAGACTGTCAAGTGCCCTGTGGAAATCAAGATCCACCTTTGTGTTGATAGCATTGCTATTGATTTACCGGTCTAGTAATTCTGCCAAATAAAGGGAATGTGGTTAGTATGACTTGGTCTTAGTAAACCTATATTGGCTCCTGGCATCTCTGTATTCTTAAAGGCCCACAAACCATTTGACTAATAATCCATAATTAGAATTTGTCAGGGACTGGTATCAAGGTTTACTTTAATGAATTCTGAAAATCATGTTTTCCCCTTTTTTGGACATTGGGAAATTTTCCTGTTTCCAGTATTCTGGCCTCTGACCACGATTTCTCCAAGATGACTGACATTGGTCACAAGGTGATGATAACTGAGCATTGCTTGAGTTCCCTGGGATGTAATTCATCTGGGCTACAACTTATTTAGTGACCAGCTGCTTCTTTACTATCTCCTTGCCTGTCTTGAGATTCAATTCCCACTTAACCAGATTTATTCTATCCCTTCTGAACTGAAAGTTGTTATGCTGGACAGAGAAAATAGAAGCAAAATCAGAGTTGAGCCATTCTATCTTCTTTCTGTCATCTTGTCATCCTTCGTGTACTTCCCCCAACATGACTGGTATATGCTGGGGATTCACACTCCTGCTCACCAGTACTGTGGTTCCTCCAAGCTTGCTCCAGCCTTTGCCCCCTCCCTCCCTCCTAGCTGCCAAGAAGCATACCAGTCAAGACCTGGATTGATGACCCCAGTGAATAGAACACAGCCTCATTCAATACCAGCAGGCTGCATGCTGCCCACTCCTGGTCCCAATACAGCTCACTCGTGGGTTGCTTCTTAGCCCCTCCCTCTGCCCTCTTCCCATAGCCACTCACCTTCTGTTCCTGAGACTCTATCACCTTCTTGCCATCCCAAGCCCAGCTCCGTTTGGTGAAGTAGTTGACAGTGGCGAATTCAATCAGCGCAGAAAACACAAAGGCATAACAGACGGCTATGAACCAGTCCATGGCCGTCGCGTATGCCACCTTAGGTAAAGAGTTTCTGGCGCTGATGCTCAGGGTGGTCATAGTGAGGACAGTGGTGACCCCTGTGGGGAGAGAAGGGAAGAATCCACCACCATCAGAAGATGCTAAGTCTGATAAGTGGGCTCACCTGTCTTACCTGGGGAAAGAGGGGCCATTTCAAAGGAAGTCATCTAAACCAGAAAGCATCACAGAGCTGGAAGTGATCTCAAAGTAATATTGTCTAACCTTCTACCCGGGCTAGAATGCCCTCTCCAAACAAATACCATCCAGCCACTGCTCAAACATTTCTAGTGACAGGAAGTTCATCATTTCATGAGAGAGCACAGACTATTCATTGTTGGGTAGTTTTCATTGTTAGAAAGTTCTTCCTTTCATCAAGTAGGTCTGCCTCCTGGCTACTTTTGTCATAGTTCTTCCCCCTTGAGGCCCCAGAGAAAAGTCACAGGATAAGAATTCTGAGCCAGAGGGGATCTTAGAGGTCTAAGCTAACCCCTTCATTTTACAAAAGAGACTGAGGGCTAGAGTGGGGGTGGACTATGGCTTGCAGTAGGTCACATAGTTCTAATGCCCAAGTTAGGACTAGAATCTAGTTCTCACAAATCCCAATCTGATGCCTTTTCCATTACAACACATTTTCACTCTACTCACTGCTCCATGGGATGGGTAATTGTCACATTTGTTCCCCTCCCCATGATAAGTCTTCTCTTTTCTAAGAGGGATCAGCATCCCCCCATTCCCTGAACTGCTCCTCATATGGCAGTGTCCTGTTCCCCCTCCCCTGGACACATGTCAGCTTGGCATTAGCCTTCTAGAACTCAACATCCTGTCGTACATGTGGGTATTACCAAAGCAGAATGTCACGGGGCTGTCGCCTCCCACATGCTGGATGCTCCTTCCATCTTACCGCGGCCCAGGCCTGCAGTACCTTGGTTGGCAGCCACGCGACACTGTTGGCTTATGTTGACCTTGAAGCCTTTTTTATATGAATTGCTATTGCTTCTACAGCTGATTTTATTAAAAACCCAAGTAGAAGACTTCACCTTTATCTCTGTTAAATTTAATCATGTTAGTTTGGGCCCAGCATACTATCAATTTGGATCTCTGGTGAATGGCAAGTTCCATATGAGTCAACAGTATGATGTGACAGCCAGTGAAGCTGTATTACCAAAGGCATGAAACCAGGACCAAGGGAGGGATCGGTCTCTGCTGTCCTCTGCCCTCAGCAGACCATCTCTGGAGCACTGAGTTTGGTCTCGGCACCATGTTTTAGGAAAGTCCTTGATAAGCCAGACAGCATCCAGAAGAGAGAAATCAGGCTAGCCTTGGGGCCAGAGATGGCGCCATACAAGGAGCAGTTGAAGGAACCAGGGAACTTTATACTCAGGAGAAGAAAAGGCTCAAGAAGGATGCAATAGCCATCTTCAGATATTTTCAAAATGAATTAGATTGGTTTCAATTGGACAATAAGTCACTTCATCTTTCTGGGCCTCAGTCTCCTTAGCTGTAAAATGAGGTTGGACTCGTGAACCCTTCTGGCTCTGTATCTAGGATCCTAACACAGAGACAGACATATCAACAATATATGGACGAACCCTCTAAGAATTAGAGCTAGCCAAAAGTTGAAGGAGTTTTCTACCAATGGAAGTCTTCAAGCAGAGGCCGGATGATCACTTAGTAAGGTGGCTTCTATTCACATGTGGGTTGGACTAGACAAAACTCCTTCCAATGCTGAGATTCTGGGTATATGGAAAAAGAAATCGATACACATGGGGCATCAATAGATCTTGGAGGCAAGTTTGGTGCAGTGGAATCAAGAGACCTGGGTTCAAATCTCTCCTCATTTACTAACCTCCAGTCCGGTGTTCTTTCCAAAGCCTTCTATTAGCCTCTAGGAGGAAACGAATTTCCCCATCTGTAAAATGGGTATGAATTCCAAAATGGGTAATTGGGATTCAGTGAGAGAATGAAGAAGTTGCTTTGGAAACTGTCGCTACTTTCCATGTGGAAGGGAGGGTTGTTCTCCACATAGGGAATTGTGAGTTGGGTGCTGGGAGGGTCAGAGAGTTCAGTAACTAGGATACGGCTGCTGAGAATTATAATGCAGGGCAAACATTTAGGGATGGAGGAGGGGAAGGCGTAGTTGGAGTACCAGGAGATGGGGTGCTTTGGAGACAGAGGGAAGGAGGCAAGAACTAGAACACAAAGAATCTCTCAGGCCCCAACCTCCTCAGCCAGGGATGTTTCTCAGGGACATTGGAGCACCAGCCAGAGCTGGGGGGGGGGGTGAGTGCATAAAACATGCTCTTCTATTTCCACTGAGGGCTAACCATCTGAGGCTGCCCATGTGCAGCTCCAAATTGAACAGGGCATCATCAAGGGAGCTGATTAGCAGAGACAAATTTTGAGCCATGACAGGAATCAGCCCAATAAATTAATAATATTGCTAGCGACTAATTAACACACTAACTGAATTTGTAGCTTGGCAAGCTAAGATAATGGGCCCAATTGTTCAGCAACCCTCTGCCCACCACAGGCAGGCACAGTGTTCTATTTGGGAGGATGCATATTTTTCTGGGTCTGTCAGGGAAATGTCATGAGTAGCCTTCTCTTCTAGGGGTGTGGGGGTGAGTTTGGGGAGTGCCACCATCTTGAGCAAGCCCTTTTGGTTAGCAGTCACCTGGAAAAACAACAAAGGGTCCTTACAAAGTACGAGGGCCAGGGGCAGGAAAGGACATAGGAGGCCCCCTGGGAGAGGTCTTATTCTCCCTCTTAACCCAAGAGATGACATTGGAGTAGAAAAGCTCCTGACCTCTAGAGACACAACCATCCACTGAAGAAGAAGGGATGAGATGGGCCTGCAATGGAGAACATCTGATCCACAAAGTTCTGTTAAGATTGCCTGGTCCAATTCCCTCATTTTACCGATGGGGAAACCTAAATGACCAAGAGGGGCAAATGATATTTCTAAAGTCAATAGAAAGTGTTAGTGGGAGAGCCAGAACTTCAAGCCAGGTCTGCTGACACTGAACCTGGGGCATGTTCTATCATTTTGCTTCCCATCACCAAGGCTGGGGCAGGTTTTTTATGTCTGGTTGGTCACCTCGATTCAAGAACAAGCTCCCAAACAGTCCAGGGACACTGCATCTTTGCATCCCTGGAAGGCCTGAGCATAGGACTCCATACAAACTGGATGCCATTCACCAAGAGCTCCCTCTTCTCCCCTCCTCCTCTTCTCTCATCACTTAGATGTCTCCCCCTACTATCTCCTCCTTCACCCCATCTAACCAGAAGAGGTGATGCTTCTCCTTGCCAAGGCCAACCTCTCTATATGCAAGTAATCCTGTTCTATTCCTTCTTCTCCACCAGACTGGTGCCATTATCTTTCTCATTCTTTCATCTCTCCCTGTCTACTGGCTGCTTCCCTGCTGCCTACAGAGCACCCCTTGTCTCCTCATTCTCAAAAAAAAAACCAACCCCATCACTTCCATCCTCACTAGCTATCATCCTTTTCCCTTTCCAGGCAACTCTTTGAGAAAGACACCTACAATCTTCATCTCCACTTCCATTTCTCTCTCTCCTTTACCCTCTGCAATCTGGCTTCTGACCTCATCATTTACCTGAAACAGCTCCTCCAAAGTTGAGGATGACTTCTTAATTGTCAGATGGAATGACTTTTTCTCAGTCCTCATCCTTCTTGACCTTTCTGCAGCTTTTGACACTGTTGATAACCATCTTCCCCTTGATTCTCTCTTCTTAGGTTTTCATGACACTGATCTCTCCTTCTACCTATCTTACTGTTCTGTCTCAGTCCCCTTCACTAGATCTTCATCCAGGTTATGCCTACTAATTGTGGGTGTACCTCAAGACTTTGTCCTGGGCTTTCTTTTCTTCCTCCATACAATTTCACTTCCATACGATCTCATCAGCTACCCTGGATTCAATTTTCTCTATGCAGATGATTCTTAGATCTATTTATCCAGCCCAATCCTCTTTCCTGAGCATCAGCCCTTCCTGTCCAACTGCCTATTAGATATCTCAACCTGGATGTCCCATATACATCTTAAGCTCAACATATCCAAAACTGAACTCATTATGTTTTCCTGTCCCACATGCCTGAAAGTCTCTCTTTCTCCCCTCAACTCTGGCTTCTGGCTTCCCTGGTTTACTTCAGGTTCCAGCTAGGATTCCACATTTTCCAAGAAGCCTTTACCAGCCCCTCTTCGTGCTAGTGCCTTCCCTCTGAGATTACCTCCAGTCTATCCTGCATATATCTTATTTGTACATAGTTGTTTGCCTACTGTCTCCCTCCCCAGTAGTCATGAGCTCCTTAAGAGCAGGGACTGTATTTTGCCTTTCTCTGTACCCCAGAGCTCATCACAGTATCTGACACACAGTAGGAGCTTATTAAATGCTTGTTTACTTGGATTGACCCGAGAAACACTTTTTGATTGGCAACAGGTTTGAGTGATTGGTTCCTTGGTAGGATACAGAGGCCAGATAAATGAATCAAGAGGCTTCTGTTCAAACCCTAGCTCTTCCATGAACTAGGCATGTGACCTAGAGCAAGTCACTTCTTTTCTTTGGGCCTTAGTTTCTACATCTGTAAAAAAGAAGCAGTTGAACTAGATAACTTCCTAGGTCCCTCCCACATCTAAAATCTCTGCCCCATGACCCTTTACCTCCTTTCTAGTGTCCAAAATGTTCCCTCTCTGAGATGGGTCATCAGACAGGATTGGAAGGAATGGAATCCTGAATGGACTCCAACCAAATGATTGGGAAGCCTGAGGCTGCATGCAGAAAGAGGTAAGTTGCAGTCTCAGAGGTGATGACCCCCAGTTCCTGGGTTCTACCCTTTAGTATAATTGCTTTGCCTAGGGGCCACACCTGGGAGCACAGTGCCCTCCACAGGGAATTCTTCCACTCTTGTTCAACACTCACCAAAGACTGTACGAGCAGGGACAGACTCCCGATTAAGCCAGAAAGAAACCTGGGACAGGATGACAGTCATGATGCAGGGTAGGTAGGTCTGTATCACAAAGTAACCAATCTTGCGTTTAAGGTGGAAGTAGGTTGTCATGACGACATATTCTCCTGGAGAGAACAGATTAGGCAGAAAACAACACTGTTGGCATCACCATGGAGGCCAGACCTAGCTAGCTCTCATCACCAGGTGTGAAATTTCCAATCTTTCCCTCACATACATATACACATTGTTAACCATCACCGGATTTCTTTTTGCTCCAATAAACAGTGACTATTTGCCAAGTAGTCATTTGAATTGATAGAGAGGGGCTGTAGAACTCCTGGGGGATGGGGCTGACGTGATGAGAGACCATACCCTGGAAAGAACATAAGACTTGGCAACTGATAAAAAATAGAGAAGGGAGAAGGGGCAGAGTTCTGAATGGCTCTGAGGTTATGAAACAGACTGACTGGAACGAAAATGGTGCTGTCAACAGAAATGGAGGAAATAGAAGGCTGGAAGGTATCAAGATACCTGGTGTCTATTTTCTGGCTGACTTTGAGCAAGTCACTCTGCCTCTCTTGTTTCTTTATCTGTAAAATGAGTATAATTACACTTGCCCTAACCACCCCGTATTGGCATTGTGAGAAGGAAATGAAGTAACTAAAAGCAAAAGCTCTTTGCAAAATAAAATTCATTATATCAAAATGAGGGGATGGGGAAGAAGACAATGATTAAATCACTGAGTACTGAGAACAGTGCGACCCAGCGAACACTTGACTCTCATGTAGATGAGCATCCCATAGTTATATGTACCCTGTAACAAATGATCTAGAAAAGTGACCGGTTTCTGCTGTGGGTCATTTTGGCATGGATAGTTTTTAGGGCTATTGATTTGGTTGCATAAGAATGTCCATATCTAAGTCCAAACAGAAGTCATCTTATTTCCCTCCCAATCCCATTCTTCTAAATTTCCCCATTTCTGTTAAGGGAGCCACCATCCTTTCAATCATCCAAGTTTGCAACATCAAAGTCACCCTTAGCTCTTCCTTCTCTTTTATGTCTCCTCCATCGAATCAATTGCCAAGCCAACAATTTGACCTCCTCAACATCTCCAGCATCTCTCCCCTTCTCTCTACACTTACAGCTATTGCCCTTAGGCTCTCTCTCCTCTTCTCCAATCCCCTCCAGTCTACCACAGAGCTGCCAATGTAATCTCCCTAAAGTTACTCCTCACTGAAAAATCTGCAGTGGCTCTCTGTTGGCTCTTGGATAAAACCCAAATTCCTTAACCTGGCATTGAATCTATTTCCTACCTACCTTTCTAGACTTGTTTTATATTACTTCCCTTCAGATTCTCTGTTCCAGTCAAACTGATCTGCTAGCTGTTTCCCATACATGACGTTCCATCTCTCACCTTCATGTCTTTGCACAGGTGAACTTCCATATCTGGAATGCACTCCCTCCTCACCTCAGCCTCTATGAATCCCTAGCTTCCTTCAAAGAACATATTGGGTTTCACATCCTCTGGGTGAAAGACAAATCCATCCATCCATGGGGGCTTTTCTGATTCCCACCGGCCCTCCCCCAGTTATTAATGTATTCTCCCTCTTGAAATGACTTGTTTAATGTGCAATCATTGCATTTACTTATTCGCGTACATTTTGTCCATCTTCACACACACACACACACACACACACACACACACACACACACACACACACTCGTAGCTTGTAAGCCACTTGGAGGCAGAAACTTTGACTCGCTGTTTTTGCATCCTCACTGCATGTCACAGCACCTGGCACATAGGGAAGGCCTAATGAATACTTCTCAAATTGAATTCCCTTCACTACCACCACACTCATGCATATAATAAAATAAAAGTTTGTTTCTTTCTTTCTTCCTAGTTCTTCTCTGGAGAAATAGACCTGGATCAGACATTCTGACAACGAATTCTTGGACTCCCCCATGTGCCCTTGGGGTCTAGTTAGGGAGAAGATACAGGTTGTTAAAGGCAGGGTCTATTAATATCAAGAACACTAGAGGGAAAGCACTCCACAGTGAAGGGAGAGATCCCTGGGGTCTGTCCGGTGGTAAAATATTCGTGAAATGTAATGAGGAAAAGAGAAGGGAAGAGGAATGAGTATAGAAGAGCTATGGAGAAAGGGAGGGGAGGGGGAATAGGAGAACAAAGGACCCTTGAAGCTCCCTGTAACATGGGCAACTAGGAAAAATGAAGCACTGCAGATAGAAAAAATAATAATATTCATTAAATCAGAAAATATTTGCTAGAGACACATTCTTGGTTACTGGCATAATTAGCTGAAGTAGATTCAGAAGGAATGCTAGCAATGACCTCAGACAAACAAATCCTTTAACCTCTCAGTGTCCTAAGGTCAGGCTGACATCTGCTGCTATGGGAACTCATGGATGGAGAAAGTAAATACTACACCCAACCCAACCCAACCAGAATGGAGGCTAACGAATGGGCTACCTGCTCTTCAGTTACACTGGTAAAGTGACATGTCGGGTTCTAAAATGTCATACATCGCCATGCCCTTCCTGGGCATGTATAAGAGGGCCTGAAGCTCACCATAATTCCCTACTATAGTGGTTAGACTTGGTGCCATTTTAAATAGCCAATATTTTTATTTCTCAATATCTTGGCCACAGAATGAAGGCACTTTAGCCCGAGAAAATGGACATTGCTGGACAGGCTAGTATGTAAAGTGGCTAATACTGCATAAGTGAACCCCTCTATGGATACCAAAGCAAGCCAATCAGATGGAAGATCCCACTCATGCCCTCTGCTCCAGTCTGTCTTCTGGCACAGCACGCCAGAACTGATGGACAGGCATCCTCAGCCTTGACAGAGCTATGCAAATAACCACTTCATATACCTTCAAATAACTTTAGAACCACCACCCAGCTTTCTTCTTCCCAGCACAGTACACTGTGGCCTCTGTTGCCATTAGGGAGTGTGGCTGGACCACCACAACCTGGTACCTGTACTAGATCTGATAATCTCAGTTCCAACGACGTGGCCTAGCAGGTCATACTGGTTCAGGCGAGAGCCATCCTGGGCCACTTCCACAGATTTGTTTTTTCCAAGAGTCCAGGAATAGATCACTTCAGCCTTCGTGTAGGCATCTGGAGGAGGGAGGAGAAGGGGAGGAAGGAAAAGATGAAGCAGCTGAGGGAAAGCAAAAGAGTCACCCTTTAACCATAAGATAGGAGGCTGAGGCATAATACCATTTAATCTCTCCTACCCGAGGACATTTCTTCAATCTCCAACTGTCAACGTTCACATCTGTCCAGCCACCAGATGTTTAAGCTTTTCCTTCTCTTGAGGAAGGAAAGTATGGGTCCCTTCTCCCAGAAAACCCCTGCTTTCTCATCAAAGATGATTCACTGGTCAGTGTCTCTTAGCTTAGCACTACAAGTTTGCTCCTCTGTTCCAAAGCCCCTGCTGCACATATCAAGGAGAGAATGTGGCAACAATAGCTGAGGAGGGCAAGGGAGTGGCCCCTGTTTCTCAGCCAGGGAACCTCTTTCCAGATTGTCTTCACATCCCAGCCCTATATGAGCTACCTACGCAGGTGGGTCTAGTCCAGACCTGGGTTGTTCTACAATGCTTGGTGGAAGTCCTATGGGGGGGGGGGGGTTGCTCCAAAAAAATCTCAGAAACATCAAAGCTAGAAGGGACTTCAGGGACCACCTAGCCCAAACTATGCCTAAACAATATCCTTGACAAATAGTCATCCAGTGTCTCCTTAATGATCTCAAGCGAGATCCCAGTGAGAGGGAAGCTACCACCTACTGAGGCAGCTCATTCTACTCAAGGATTTCTTGGGAAGTTTTTCTTTACATCAAGCCTAATTTTGCCTCTGTGACTTCTACCCATTTGCTGCTGCTTCTGCCTCTGGGGCTGGATAGAAAAAAACAGAATCCCTTTCCCACAGGAAAGCCTTTCAAATCCTTGAAGACAACTACCATCTCCTCCCTGGGTCTTCCCTTCTCCATGCTAAATATCCCCAGTACCATTAATCACTTTTTACATAGCATGATCTCCAGACCTTTCACCATCCTGATCAGCCTCCTCTGATCTCTCTCCAACTTATCCATGTCCTTTCTAAAATGTAGCACTTAGAACTGAATACAATACCTTCTAGATGTGGTCTGACAGGGGAAGATAATGGAAGGACTATTTCCTCCCTTGCCCTAGACACTATGAGTATCTTATTGCAGACATCATAGCTTTTATAACTTACATGTGATGCTGATTCATACTGAGCTAACAATGCAACAAAACCCTCATATTTTTCACATTAACTGCTATCTAGTTACTCTTTTCCTATCTTGGATTTGTGCTGTTGATTTTTTGAATCCAAGTTCACATTTAACTCTATTGAATTTCAACCCACTAAATTTACCCCCAGTGTTCTAGACCTGCTTGAGTCTTCCAGCTACCCCTCACAGCTTTCTGTCACCTGAAATTTGGATAAGCATCCTACTTATTATGCCTTTATCCAAGTGACTGAAAAAAAATCAACAACACAGAACCAAGCACAGATACTTAGGGCTCTCTGATAGATACTTCTTTCCAAGGTAGCCATTTGATCAGTTCCAAATTCACTTAATAAATAAATATAGCAAATAGTAAATATCTTCTAGTGCTTATCTTTCCATATTTCTACACAAACAACATTAGAGTATTTTTCAAATAATTTCCTCAAATCCAGGTAAACTATATCTACAGCACCCTGATCTAGTCTAATAACCCTGTCAAAGAAGGAAATGAGGTTAGTCTGGCATCATCTGATTTTGAAGACATGTTACTGGCTCCTGTGATCATTACTTCCTTTTCTAGATATTCATGTATCATCTCTTAATTTTTTTTACAATATTCCAGGAATAGAAGTCAAGCTCACAGGCTTATAGTTTGTAAATTCAACCAGCTCCCTTTTTGGATACTTGGAATATCTGCCCTTTGCCAAAAGTGCTCTACCTCTGTCAACTTCCAATATCTCTTAAAGATCACTTACAGTGACTCAGCAATCACATCTGCCAGTTCTTTCAATGTCCAAGGTTGTAGTTCACTTGGGACTGGAGACCTGAACTTGTCAAGGAAAGCTAGAAGCTCTTTTACTATCTTCCTATTTTTTATTAAGTATCAATTCCCCACTGGCTATTTTTGTTCAATTCTGTCCTAATTTTGAAAAATGGGAAAATAGTAAAGAGTGCAGACTATAGGCAGGAGAATTCAACTTGGATCCCTGGCAAAATTCGAGACCATATTATTAAATGGATGGTTAGTAAACATTTAGAAAACGAAGCAGTGATCACAAAGTGGTCTCACAAAATAGCTTCATCAAGAACATCTATCCTTTGAGATATGGACTTGGGAATGAAGCATCCCCTGGAATTCAAGGACAGGAGCACTGAAGAATGAAAGACGTTGAAAAAACTCCAGCAAAAGAGGAAAGAACTTGGAAAAAAATTTTCTGAAGTTCCTCGTATGACACTTTCTCTCATGGTGCTTTTCATAAAGAATGTTATATTGTTGTTAGACCCAGAACAACTGGTCTAAGGTCCACACAAGTAAAGATGTCTCACCTCAATTTCTTCCAATCTATGCACTTTAAAAGGTTCCATGTCTTTGGAATCAAGATGATCAAATCTAGCCCAGGTGTTTAAGTTTCCATCTTCTTATTCTTAAAAAATGTGTAATTTGCTACAACAACTCTTCTATACTCTCCTCTGATCCCTTTGGCTTCTTGGAAACACCATCCCACTGCTTATGACCTTGGAATTTCCTAGTTGCTAAGCATACAGGCAAGGAATATCCTCAATATTCATTTGGTAGCATTGCATGTTTTCTGGATGAATAAAGTGGGTCAGTGGGTAAAGCTGCGCACCTGGAATCAGGAAGACCTGAGTCCAAATCCAGCCTCAGATACTTACAACTTTTGTGACCCTGGGTGAGTCACTTAAACTCTATCTGCTTCAGTTTCCTCATCTATAAAATGGGGATAACAATAGTGCCTGCCTCCCAGGGTTGTTGTGAAGATCAAATGAGATAATCATTGTAAAGTGCTTAGCACAGTGCCTGGCACACAGTAAGTGCTATACAAATATTAATTGTTGTCGTTATTATCATTATTTTAATTAGTAAAGGTTTTCAGAATGTCACTGCTAAGCTCCAGGGGTTTCTACAACAGCATCTAGAGACATCTAGGGATGGAATGTAACTAACAAGGGCTGGTAAGATTGCATTTGGTGAATGTTTTGCAAATCTAATCAAAAGGGCTAAAATAGATATGGGATAGAGAAAGCTGCCTCTGTTTATCTACCAACTAGACTCCATAGAGAATAGCTATAATGATGGAAGAGGAAAGGAGTTTCCCAGAAATCCACAGGAGATAAAATCCTTGAAAGGAGTCACTAGTACATCCCACACTGAGACCTGTTAAAGACCTGAGCTTGAAAAGGCCAAGGTCTCCCACTGCATCCTGGGGCATCTCCAGCTGTCCTGATCCATTTCTGGCCACTGGACCCAGATGGCTCTGGAGGAGAAAGTGAGGCTGGTGACTACGTACAGCCCTCCATCACTTACATCCAATTCACTTACATGTCATGGCATCATCTCCCTGATGTCATGGTCCTCTTTGAGAATGAAGGACAAATAACAATAATAACTCTGCACAAATGCCCCAAATTCAGGCAACGGGCAAGATGGACTAGAGGCCCTAACTCAAGGAAGAACTTATTACTGGAGTGTAAATGATGGGAATATTGGAGTAAAGTGACCATTCCATTGCAGATTTGGGGATGGAGGAGAAGAAAGCCAGGTCTGACATACATCCTAGATTTGGGGAGACCAGATTTCAAAAGGTTCAGAGGAAAAATAGGTAGATTCTTCGGGATTGAAATTCTATGGGGGAAGTCAACTCAGGGATGGGAAACTCTCGAGAATGGAATTCTAAAGACAGAAAGGGAAACAATTTTGGTGAGGAAACAAAAACAGCAGTAATCTTTTTAAAAAATTATTTTCAGTCCCAAATTTTTCTCCCTCCCTCCCCCAACCATTGAGATGGCAAGAAATATAACACCCACTATACATATGAAGTAAAACAAGAGTTATCTGAAGATACTGATGTGGATGCACAGGAAACTCACCAATTAACTTAGATTTTTACATTATCTGTGCGATGACTGCACATGTATAACCTATATCAAATTGCTTGCCTTCTCAATGGAGGAGGGGGAGGAAGGGCAAGAATTTGGAACTCAAAGTTTTAAAAATGAATATTAAGGGGCAGCTAGGTGGTGCAGTGGATAGAGCACTGGCCCTAAAGTCAGGAAGACCTGAGTTCAAATCCGACCTCCGACCAAAGACTTGACACTTACTAGCTGTGTGACCCTGGGCAAGTCACTTAACCCCAATTGCCTTAAAAAAAAAAGTAAAAATGAATATTAAAAATTGTTTTTACATGTAACTTGGGGAAAATAAAATACTAAATAAATAAAAGGAAAAAAAAGAAAAATCTATGCAAACTATGGACGCAAGGGCAGTTAACAAAAGATAAATATAAAAGCGAGGGACAACTCTGTAACAACAGAGCCAGGAGTGTTCAAGATCAGAATGAGCTGAGGCTCAAAAGCAAAGCTAACAAAAAGAAAAAGGGATTTAGAAAAACTATATTGGGAAAAGAGGGGAAATCAGAGAAGGACTAGGACAGTTGTTTTGAGTAGATGGGACAATGGTAAATGACAACAGAGATAGTAGATAGGTGTGGTAGTAAATGTTTAACAACTGGCTCTCTGGAAAAAATGTCCACTTGACATACTTGCAAGCTTAATCTGCATTATTAACACTTTCCAAAGTCAAGACAATCAAGAAAACAATAAATTGAGCTCTTATTTATTGCATTTGCTTATTTCCTTGGCATAAATGCTTATATTGAAAATTTAGCAATCGGTTCTAATGACCCAATACAAACTGGCTCCAGTACACCACTGGATAGAGGACAGAGATGTTCGATTCGTATTTTCCTTCTGTTTTCCCTGCTGAGAATAAGGACCACTGTACTAGTAATAACAGACAGACTGACAAATAGAGAGTTGGTACTCAACATAAGTAAGGAAAG